GATTGCGGGGTCATATGGAAGGTCGATTTTTAGAGCTTTAGGAATCGCCACACTGCTTTCCACAGAGGTTGCACTAGTTTACACTCCCACCAACAGTGTAGAAGTGTTCCCTTTTCACCACACCCTCTCCAGCAGTTGTTTTTTTTTGAGTTGTTGATAATTGCCATTCTGACTGGAGTTAGGTGGTATCTCAGTGTGGTTTTGATTTGCATCTCCCTGATGATTAGTGAGGTTGAGCATTTCTTCATGTGTTTGTTGGCTGCTCAGGTGTCTTCTTTTGTGAAGTGTCTGTTCATATTTTTTGCCCATTTTATAATGGGGTTGTTTGTATTTTTCTTTTCAGCACGTTTGAGTTCTTTGTAGATCCAGGATGTTAAGCCTTTGTAAGACCTGGAGTTGGCAAATACTTTTTCCCAGTCTGTAGGCTGTCTCCCTGCTCTCTTGATGGTTTCTTTGACTTTGCAGAAGCTTGTCAGTTTAATAAGGTCCCACTTGTCTATCTTCTCTCTTATGACCTGTGGGTTTCGGGTTTTGTTCAGGAATTGGATGCCAGCTCCGATTTCCATGAGGGTATTTCCTTCCTTTTCTAAGGTTTTTATGGTTTGAGGTTTTACATTTAGGTCTCTGATCCATTTGGAGTTAACCTTTGTGCATGGGGATAGATAGGGGTCCTGTTTCAATCTTCTGCATGTGGTCAGCCAGTTTTCCCAGCACCATTTACTGGATAGGTTCTCCTCTCCCCACTGGTAGGTGGTGGGGGCTTTGTCGAAGATGAGTTGGTTGAGAAATTGAGGTTTTGCTTCTGGAATCTCAATTCTATTCCATTGATCTATATGCCTGTTCCTGTACCAATACCAAGCTGTTTTGATGATTGTAGCTTTATAGTAAAGTTTGAAGTCTGGTAATGTAATACCACCTGCTTTGTTTTTTTTGCTGAGGATTGTTCTGGCTATCCTTGGATGTTTGTGTTTCCATATGAATTCCTGTGTTGTTTTTTCTAGGTGGGTATTGAATTTCATCAAAGACCTTTTTGATATCTATGGAAAAAAGCATGTCTTCCTTCTGAAATCTATTAATGTTGTAATTTTTTCCCCAATAATGAAATTTTTTGGCCTTCCTAGATAAAGAATCCCACTTGGTCAACACGTGCACACATACATATTTATACACATCCAGATATAAATTGGTTGTTTTATTCTGTTTGTTGTTTGCTAATTTTTATTCATGAATTTTGCATTCCTGTTAATACATGGGATTGATCTCTGTTTTTCTTTTCTTTCTTTCTTTCTTTCATTCATTTTTTTGAGTTGCAATCTCACTCTGTCGCCCAGGCTGGAATGCAGTGGCACACTCAAGGCCACCCCAGTGTCGATCTGCTGGGCTCTGGCGATCCTTCTGTCTCAGCCTTCCAAGTAGCTGGAACTACAGGCATGTTCTACCATACCCAGCCAATTTTTGATTTTATGGTAGAGACAAGGTCTTGCCAAGTTGCCCAGGCTGGTCTCAAACCCATGGGCTCCCAAAGTGCTGGGATTAAAGGCTGAGCCACGGAGCCCAGCCTATTTTTTGTTTTTATGCTATTTTAATTGTGTGTTAGTCTTACTACTTTATGTCTGCATTTACATTTAAAAATTTTGATTGAAACTATTATGTGTATTCTTCCTCTCCCAACCAGAACCCCAAAACCAATGAAAACAAAAGGAGTAAGTTTTTCAGTGGCAGATTTCATAGCTCATTCTTTTCTGGTTATGAAGAATCATGTTTGCAAAGCTAAAGTTTGGTGCTTTTACCAATAAAAGTTGGATATGGTCAAGTTGTCAGACTGTTCTTAGTATTTATGATTGTGCTGTAGGAGAGGTTGATAATAGGTAAAGTTGTGTATACTGTTTTATAACTTACAAAGTATTATGTTTTGAATTAAAATATAGGTTAATAAAAAAGGAAAAGTTACTATTATGTTTATTGATTCTGAAGAAATTTTGTGAATTAGGAATGATAGACATTTATTTTTCCACTTAATGAATGAAATTTAGGCTTTCATATGTTAAATGACTAATTTAAAAAGTTAAACCTTTTCTTACATCAATGAGCAAAAACATTCTTGATTTGCAAGTTAACAAGTATATATTGAACATTTTTATTCTTTTGTTAAGCAAGTATTTAAGGAGTTCATTTTGAGTACCACACAGTGTACTAATTGTTGGGGGATATAAAAAGATGAGAGGTAGGTATGTTTTCTGGCATTAAAGTTCTCATAGTCTCTTTGGGAAGACAGATATTTATTTAGACAAGATTATTATAGTCAATGAGGAAGTGCAGTGATTGAACTATGTGCCTGAAGGACTTCACACAAAAAAGGTCATTTTTATGTTGGATATTGGAAATTTGCTAAGTGGAAGAAGTAGGAAATCATATCAATTAAGGTGTTGGCATTGGTGGATAAATGGGATTTTATGATAAGTTGGTGTAGTTGAATAAGTTCAGTGACTGCAGAGCATAGGCACAGTGATCTTTTGTGACTAAAGCTCTAATGTTTGTAATCATCCTTTTGATACTGCAAAGCAGATTTTTAAAATTTTTGTTGTAAAAAGTTTGAAATATGTACAAAAGATGAGAATAAATAGTGTAAGGGACTTATATTCGGGCTCAACAATGACAACATTTTGGCATATTTGTTTATCTATCCCTTTATTTACTTATTTAAAAAAATAGGAGATCTTGCTATGTTGTCTGGGCTGGTTTTGAACTCCTGGGCTCAAGCAGTCCTCTTGCCTTGGCCTCCCAGAGTGCTGGGATTACAGCAATCGGTCACCATACCTGGCCTATCCCTTTTTTTTTTAATGCTGATGTATTAAAAACAAAACAATCCGGAGAGACATAATGGCGGCTCACGCCTACGTACTTCAGTATGAGGATCAAATGGAAGTAGAGGAAAAACATAATTATATCTTAGTTTATAGGTAGGTAACTCTTATAGAAGTATAACTCATGGATTGGAGGGAAGAAAAGTGAGATGATTAGGAAATGCAGTGTGTTGGTATATCTGTGGTTTCACCTTCTGCAGTTTTAGGTACCAAAACATAGGTGAGTGCAGTACAGTGAGAGAGGCCATATTCACATAAATTTTATTGCCATATATTGTTCTATTTTTTTTGAGTTGGGGTCTCATGCTGTGACCCAGGCTAGACTATAGTGGCAGAATCATGTTTACCACAGCCTCAACATCCCGGGCTTGGATGGTCCTTCTGCCTTAGTCTCCCAAGTACCTGGGACTACAGACATGTGCCACAACACCCTACTAATTTTTTTATTTTGTTGTAGAGTTGAGGTCTTGCTGTTTGCCTAGGCTGGTCTTGAACTCCTGGGCTCGAAGCAGTCTTCCTGCACTTGCCTTCAAAAATTCTGGGATTACAGGCTTGAACTACTGTGCCCAGCCGGTTCTATTTTGTGATTAGTTGTTAATCTCTTACTGTGCCTAATTAATAAATTAAATTTTGTCAAAGGTATGTGTATATATAGGAAAAAATATAATATATATTGGTTTCAGTCCTATCCTTGGTTTAGATTGCAGGCATCTTGGAACATATCCCCCATAGATACGGGATATGGGAGTGGGTGAGGCAACTGTAGTTGAAAGATAAGCCTTTGTTAAAATAGACTTGGGTTAAAATCAAAGTTTTACTTTTTACTAGCAGTATGATCTTAATGTCTTTGAGCATTGTTTCTACACTTGTAAAATAGGGGCAGTAATATTTGCCATGCAGGGTGGTTGTGAGAATTTTAAATATTAGATCATGTTCATTTCCTTTCTCTCATTTTAGACAGATAAGGGAGTTTAGACAAGAGGCTAGAGTGTGGTGCCTCACACCTCTATTGTCAGCACTTTAGGAGGCCAAAGTGGGAAGATTACTTGAGGCCAGAAGTTTAAGACCAGCCTAGACCACTTAGAGAGACCTCACTGCTACAAAACATTAAAAAATTAGCCAAGGGTGGTGGCACACTCCTGTGGTCCCACTGTTTGGGAGACTGAGGCAGGAGGATCATTTGAGCCTAGGAATTTGAGGGTGCAGCGAGCTATGATCATGCCACTGTGCTTAAGCTTGTGTGGTAGAGCAAAACCATGTCTCTAAAATAAACAAATACATAAATAAAATTTAAAAATAAAGTAGTTTAGACTAGAGGTGTGGTAATGGTAATTCAGAAGAAGTACTGCATTTTAATTACTAATGGTGATAGTAGCAATTGATTTGCAAGGAAGGTATATTTGAGCTTCATTTTAATGAAGGAATGAAATTTACAGGACAGAGACTGGGAATAGACTAGGCAATTAGAAGCTGAAGGGAGAACATCAGCAATGCAGTCAGGAGTAAATAGCATGCTTGAGGGAATAGCCTGTGTTTTGGGAATGACTGAAGTATAGAACGTGAGGTGGGAGGGAACAGGGAGAAATACAGCTCAAGAGTCAGATTTTGACCCCCTAAAAGGTTTGATCTAAGTGATTTGGATTCTGTAGTCTAAAGCTTTTACATTTCAGATTATAGAAGCCCCTCTCCAGTGAGATCTTAGCTGATTGTTTCTATTTGGGGAAGAAGTATTGAAGACTTGAAGGCTACAATCTTGATAAAAAAGAATAAAATTATCAGCAATATAATTGATTATTCAGTTTCTCATTACTTTCAGGATAAATAAAGTTCATTCTCCTGGCCCTGAATATATTAGCTCTTCTTGATCTAGTTCACTTGCCTGTCTGATTCTCTATCTATCCCTAACTGTGGTCATGTGCTGCATAATGATGTTTTATGTTTCAGTCAGCAATGGACACATATACTACAATAGTCCCATGAGTTTGCCTTTGTTGGTTTGTTTTGAGTTGAAGTCTCACTCTGTCTCCCAGACTGGAATGCTGTGGCACAATCACGGTTTACCATACCATCAACCTCCTAGGCTGAGGTGAGCCTTTTGCCTCAGCCTCCTGAGTAACTGGGACCACAGACATGTGTCACCACACCTAGCTAATTGTTTTGTTTTTTTTTTTTTGAGAGATGAGGTCTCACTATGTTGCCCAGGCTGATCTTGAACTCCTGGGCTCAAGTGATCCTCTGACCTTGGTCCCCCAAAGTGCTGAGATTGCAGACATGAGCCACCACACCCAGCCAGTCATGAGATTTTAATACCATATTTTTACTGTATTTTTTCTGTATTTAGATATACAAATACCATCATGTTACAGTTGCCTATAGTATTCCTTACAGTAACATGCTGTACAAGTTCGTAGCCCAGGAGCCATAGGCTATACCATATGACCTGGGTGTGTAGTAGGCTATACCATTAGGTTTGTGTAAGTACACTCTGATGTATGTATAATGATGAGATTGTCTAGTGGCGTAGTTCTCAGAATGTAACCTGTCATTGAGTGACACACGACTGTAATTATTTTCCATGAAGTTGATATGGGTACCCACCTTCTTTTATGCCTTTACATAAAGACAGTTTTCTTTGGCTTCTTTTGGTAAATCCTTCAGATTCATTTACTCACTCACTTACCAGATGTATTTAATGAATGTGTACTATATGCTCATCATCCATGAGTGTTCTTCCTTACATCTTTTTTCCTTCTTGGATTTAATCGCAGGTGTCTCTCGGTGATTCACAATATCCCAGTTATTGCTTTATAATAAACCCTATCAACTCAGTATGATAGCTGCTGGTTTACCTATTTCTCTACTAGTTTATAAGCCCATTGAGAACAGGTAGTATTATCACTTATTTTCATATTCCTTGTGTGTGCTTAGTATAGTGCCCAATAAATGACTGATCATAGGGTAAATCATTAGGTATTAAATAAATTGATTTTAGGTTATGGCAATAGCATGAATATATATAGAAACAAAGTATATCTTTAATTCCTTATTCAATAGTCTGACCAAAGTATAAATGTCTGGAAGAATGTATAGTAGTATATTAGGGTAGAAAGAATGTTGAGTCTATGTTGGAGGTTCTTGTGTACCATCTTTGGAACTTCTGACTTTGGAACTTCTGACTTTATTTTGCTTTATTGAAAGGAAAAAGCAAGACTTGTGACCAAGCCAATTTAACATGGATAACACTAACAATATCTATAACACAGTCATAAAGGTTAATGTTTTGGCAAATATTTTTTATACTTTGGTACATCCCTCAATAAATATTTATCTACTTTGTGTTAGACTTTATTATTCATATCAACCAATTTTACTTTTTTTCTAGTGCTTATGTTGAAAAATATCTACTGGAGAAGTCCAGACTCGTCTATCAAGAGCATAATGAACGGTACATATTTTATTTGTGTAATTAGATGAGGCTAACATTTGTAACATGCAGATTAACTTTTAAGCTCATTGTTTATTGTGACCTTTAATTCAGTTCACATCATGCATACCTTATTTATAATTGCTATTTCTGACATGGGTAGAACCCTGCAGTTTTTTGGAGGCTGCTAGGAGGAGGTTTTTATCAAGTATGTAGAACTGTTGCCCTAAGTTCTAGGCAAACAATTAGAACAGGAAGATCGCTTTTCAGTAGTATCTCATTGTTCTTTGTGAGCAGTGTATCTTTGGACTGTTTTCCATGTTCTCTAATTTGAGCAAAGTTTTCTGTAAAACTCTTAATTCCACTGTAATGTTTGAGGTACAGTATATGGGTCTTTAGAGATGACATGTGGTATCCTTCAGATAAAGAAATCAAATATCAGAGAAGTAAATTAATGGTTTGCTTCATGCTACATGAGACAAAATAATTGAGAGCCAGAATTTGAAGTTAAACAGGCCTACATTCAAATCTTGGATATGCCTTAGGCATCTCACTTAACTTCTACTTCTTTGTTATTTATTCCCATTTTACAGATGAAAAACTGTCCTAGAATGGTTGAGAGGATTAAATGAGATAACATTTATAAAATGCTTAGCTTGATCCTTATATATAAAAAAAACTCTTCTTATGAGGCTAAAAAGTGAATTTGACAATGCTTAGGAAATAAAATTATCCAATTTCTAAAAAAAAAAAAGCAAACAAAAAAACTCAGTAATTACTAACTTACTTTACCATAATGGATTACTGGCAAGATGAGTACTAGAACTTAGGCTTTTCTGTTAATTTGTGTGTGTGTGTGTGTGTGTGTGTGTGTGTGTCTAGAGAAGCAATAGGATATCTGAATTAGAGGTGTTTTAACACAAAGGGAATAGAATTTCAGGAAGAGAATAGTTTCATAAACACTTGCAGGGTTCATCAGACACTGATACTACGTTACTAGTAATTTTTTCTGACACGTTTTAGTGACATGGAGAGGATATAAGCCTTATTTCCATGGTTTTTGAGAATGAATGAGAATTGAAGATCCAGAGCTTAAAACCTGATTCTCTGTTATCTTGCTGGATTTGACTTGCAGATGTTTATATATATACTACTATGTTATAGCTTTGTATATTACAATATGTCATATATGTACAATATATTTTATAATATTATAATATGTTCATGGGTTTGGTTTGCTAATATTTTGTTGAGGATTCTACTGTCTATATTCATATAGATTATTGTGCTATGGTTTTATTTTCTTGTGATGGTTTTGGTCTCAGATAATACTGGTTCATAGAATAAGATGGAAACTCTTCTCCTATACTTTTTTTGGTAAAGTTTGTGATGGATTGGGTTAATTTTACTTATTTATTTATTTTTTGAGTTGGAGTCTCACTCTGTCGCCCAGACTGGAGTGCAGTGGCCGCTCCCAGCCACCGCAGCCTCGACCTGCTGGGCTCCGGCGATCCTTCCGCCTCAGCCTTCAGAGTAGCCGGAATTACAGGCATGCGCTACCACGCCCGGCTGATTTTTTTGATTTATTGGAGAGATGAGGTCTCGCCAAGTTGCCCAGGCGGGTCTCGAACCTGCGGGCTCAGGCAGTCCACTCACCTCAGGCTCCCAAAGGCGCGGGAGTACAGGCTGAGCCACCGAGCCCGGCTTGGGTTAATTTTTTAAATGTTTAGTAGAATTTATCAGCAAAGCCATCTGGTTCGGAGCTTTTATTTTTGTAGAGTTTTGATTACTGATTCAAACACTTGATTATAGATCTGTTCAGACTTTGTTTCTTCTTTAGTGAGACTTAGTAGTTTGAATCTTTCTATGAATTTATTTATTTCATCTAGGTTGTCTAATTCGTTGCCAAAAATTTGTTTATAGTATTCCTTATAATATTTTTATTTCTGCAAGGTTGGTAGTAATGTTCCTTCTTCTTTCATTTCTGAATTTGAGTCTCTGTCTCTTTCTGTGTCTATCTGTATCTCTCAGTCTCATCAGTTCAGATAAAAGTTTGTTGATTTTGTGGATCTTTTCAAAGAGCTAATCTTTGATTTCATTGATGTTCTTTCCTCCCCCTCATTTCCCATTTCATTTATTTCTGCTCTGATGCTTGTTATTTCTTTGTTTCTTCTTTCTTTGGGTTTAGTTTACTTTTCTTTTCTAGTTTCTTTTTTATTTTATTTTATTATAGAGTTGTGGGGTACAAGTGGAGGATTAACTACATAAGTAGGCTGCATGCAGGTGAAGTTTGGGCATCTAACTGGCCCTCACTCCTCGTGGACCAGGTACCCCTTGTGTTGTCATGTGCCCCTTGCCCTTCTCTCCCTCCCCTGCCATCAGTGCTCAGTGACTGCTATCCCTCCCTTGTGCTAATGTGACTATTGTTCAGGGCCCATTTTTCTAGTTTCTTAAAGTTGATGGTTAGGTTATAGATTTGAGATTTTTCTTCTTTTTTACATGAGTGTACCAGGTATAAAGCCCCTCTAAGCATTGCTTCAGCTGTTTTCTGTGTTTTGGTGTATTTGTTTTGTTTTTGTGTGTCAAAGTATTTTCTAATTTTGCTAAATAACCTGTTGGTTATTTAGGAGTATATTGTTGCATTTTCATATATATGTGAATTGTGGAAATTTCAGTTATTGATTTATTATTTCATTGCTAAGTATTTGAAGGGTCATATTAGTCTCCTCAAATTTAAGACTTATTTTGCTGTCTAACATGTGGTCTGTCCTGGATAATGTTCCATGTGGACTTGAAAAAATGTATATCCTCCTGTTGTTGGCTAGAGTGTTTTGTAGATATACGTTAGGTTTAGTTGGTATGCAGTAATTTTCAATTCCTCTTTTTCATTGTTGATCTTCTGTCTAGTTGTTTTGTTTATTATTGAAAGTAGGGTATTGCAGTCTTTTAGTATTCTTGTTGAATTGTTTGTTTCTTCCTTTAGTTGTGTCAAGTTCTTTTTGCTCCACATATTTTGGGATTCTGTTGTTAGATACATATATATTTAAAGTTAGATACATACATATTTAAAGGTTGGTCCTTTGTTATTATAAAATTACCTTCTTTGACTCTAGGAGCAATTTTTTTATGTTAAAGTCTGTTTTATCTGATATTGGTATAGATATTCCAGCTTTCTTTGGTTACTGTTTGCATGGTATCTTTTCCCATCTTTTTATTTTTAACCTATTAGTGTCTTTCAATCCAAACCTTTTGTCTTATAGACACCATGTAGTTGGATCATATGTTTTGTTCTTATCCATTCTACTAGTTATCTGCGTTTGGATTACAGCATTTAACCATTTATACTTAATGTAATTATTAATAAGGTAGGATTTATGAATATCATTTTGCTATTTGTTTTCTATATGTGTTATGATGTTTTTGTATCTCTATTTTCCTATTTCCGCCTTTTGTGTTAAATGATATTTTCTAGTGTACAATTTGACTTTTGTTGGCATTTCTTTTATTATTTTTTAGTTTATTTTTAGTAGTTGCCCTGAGGACTGTAGTTAGTATCTTAATTTATAACAGTGTAGTTTGGATTAATAACAATTTAATTTTGGCGGTATACAAAAAACTTTGCTTCTGTGTTGTTCTGTTCCTTTCCTGCTCCTTTGTGCTGTTGTTATTGTCATATAAATCTTTACAATGGTGTATCTGTCAGTACAGATTAATAATGATTGCTTTGTGCAGTTTTTCAAATCTAATAGGAAGAAAAAAGTGTTATAAATAAAAATAAATTTATGCTATATTTTATATTTACCTATGTAGTTCCTCCTACCAGTGTTCCTTAGTTGAGTTTTGTCTAGTGTCATTTTATTTCAGCCAGAAAAACTTCATTTAGTATTTCTTTTAGGTTCCATCTGCTAGTGAGGAAGTCTCTTAGTTTTTGTTTATCTGGGAATGTCTTAATTTCTCCTTTAATTTTAAAGATAGTTTTGCTGGATATATACTTCTTGATTCACATTTTATTTCCTGTCAACATTTTGAATACGTTATCTCTGCCATGGTTCTTGATGAGAAATCAACTGCTAATCTTATATTAGGATCCCTTGATGAGGCATTTCCCTTTTGGAGCTTTCAAAATTCTTTCTTTGTCCTCATCGGTCAGCAGTTTTGCTTTGTCTAGTTGTGGCTCTCTTTGAGTTTATCCTTCTTAGAGTTCATTGAGTTTCTTGGTTGTGCAGATTAATGTTTTCCATCAAATTTGGAACATTTTTGGTAATTATTTTTAAAATATTGTTTATGTCCTTTTTTATGGTCTCCTTTTGGAACTCTCATTATGCATGTATTGTTCTTTTTAATGGTGTTGCACAGGTCTCTGAGGCTCCGTTTGTTATTCTTCATTTGTTTTACTTTTCATTCTCAGACTAGATTCAGTTGACCTATCTTCAAGTTTGTTGATTCTTCAAGCTCACTTGTTCTTTCTTCTACCCATTCTTATTTGCTGCTAACCTCTTCTAGACACTTTTTAATTTCAGTTATATTTTTCAGAATTTCTTTTTGATGTTTTCTTGTAAGCCCTGTATATTTACTGATATTCTCTATTTGGTGACACAGTGTTCTCATACTTTTCTTTAGTTCATTAAATATGACTTCCTTTAGGTCTTTGAACATATTTAAAATAGCTAATTAAAATCTTGTCTAGTAAATCTAATGTCTAGGGTATTTCAGGAATGATTACCAGTGATTGTTTTTCTTCTTTTTAAGGGCTACGCTTTCTTGTTTCTTTGCATCTTTCATGCTTTTTTGTTGAAAACAACATTTAAAAAATATAATTTGGGGAACTCTGGAAATGAGTTTTTTCTCTCCCAGGTTTTGTGATTGTTGTTTTTATTCATGCTATTTGATTATTTTGTGACTTTTCCAAACTACTTTTATAACATCTATATTCTTTTTTTAGTGTAGTCAAAGAAGTATCTGATTGTTTAGCTTAGTTTTCAGGTCATGATTCTTCACGGAGATGTCAGTTTCACTGACAGAGATTTCTTTAAGTGCTTAGAAACAGTAAGTCTCCTAGTCTTTGCCATTGTACTCTCTACGTACATTGAGCCATGCCTTCAATACTCAAGTAGGCATTTTACAAGTCTGTCTTAGCCTTAACTTCTACTTTGTGCAGACCTTCAAAATTAGCCAGAGGTGGGAGTTTAGTACTTCATCTGGTTATTTTTGAGAGCACATTCAACCCTGGACATGTGCACAATCTCATGCGTGCATATGGCCTTCTAGATTTTCAGGGAGTTTTTTTTTTTTTTTCCAATTGGAGTCTTACTCCGTTGCCTGGCTAGAGTGCAGTGGCACACTCATGGCCACCTCAGCGTTGACTTGCTGGGCTCCAGTGTTCCTTCTCCCTCAGCCTTCCAAGTAGCCAGAACTACAGATGCGTGCTACCACGCCTGGCTATTTTTTTTATTGTAAAGATGAGGTCTTGCCAAGATGCCTGGGCTGGTCTTGAACCTGTGGACTCAGGTAATCCTCTCATCTCGGCCTCCCAAAGTACAGGGATTACAGACAGCCACAGAGCCCAGCCTGATTTCCAGGAAATTTATTGGAGCTTTTCAAAGCCCATGTAAGGTCACATTCACCAACTTTTCCTTTTCAGTTTTTTAGTCAATCTATCGTTTGCCTCAATATTTATCTCCCACTTCAGGCAGGAGACTGTTCAATAGTTGCCTAAATTGTTTTCTACAGATGCCTCTGGGGAAAGAATTTTTGCCTTGTCCAAATTCTGATTCAGATCATGTAAAGTCAGTCTTGAATGTGGCTTCTTCCAGGGAACCACCAGGCAGTTCAAACAATGGTATTTCCTAGGGAATGAGGCTTTGAACAAGTTCGAACCCTGTTCTGATCTTTCTGGTAAGGCTTCTGGTGTCCACTGTGATTGCAGGCTGTTGATTTTCAGGGCTACTGTGGGGTTGATGAACAAGTGATAGAATAGGGTAGGTTAAAACACCACAAGCCAGGCATGGTGGCTCACGCCTGTAATCCTGGCTCATTGGGAGGCTGAGGCAAGAGGATTACCTGAGCTCAGGAGTTCAAGACCCGCCTGAGCAACATGACTAGACCTCATCTCTACAATAAATAAATTTAAAAAATCAGCTGGGCATGATGGCACATGCCTGTGGTTTCAGCTACTTGGAAGACAGAGGCAGAAGGATCGTGTGAGCCCAGCAGGTCGAGGCTGCAGTGACCGTGAGCATGCCACTGCACTGCAGCCTTGGTGATAGAGTGAGACTCCAACTAAAAAACAAAAAACAAAAAAACCCCACAAAGCTGTTTTTATTGAGAGTCAGCTGTTTTTCTGGAGTAAACACTCTGGATTGCTGCAAGCTTTTGCTTAATTTCTTTGTTTCTTTTTTTTAGAAAGCAAGATTTATAGAGAGGACAGAAAAGCTCCCACAGTGGAAGGGGACCTGAGACCCAAGGGTGTTACCCACTTTTACTTAATTTCTGCATTTCTGAAAAAGTTAAATCTAATAGATTGATCATGTTCCTCATTGGCTTGATGGAAGAATTTTCTTTTTCTTTTTCTTTTTTTTGAGTCCCACTCTGTTACCCAGACTGGAGGGCAGTGGCACACTTCTGGCCACCACAGCCTCCATTGGCTGGGCTCTGGCGATCTTTCCGCCTCAGCCTTCCCCTTCCAAGTAGCAGGAACTACGTGTGTGCGCTACCACATCCGGCTAGTTTTTTAATTTATTGTAGAGACAAGGTCTTGCCAAGTTGCCTGGCTCAGGCAATCCACTCGCCTTACCCTCCCAAAGTGCTGGGATTGCATACAGACCGAGCCACCAAGCCCGGTTGATGGAAGAATTTTCAGAGATCCTAACTTTGTTTGCTGTTTTCATCTCTCTTTTGTATTCCGCATCAAAAACGTACTATTTTGTAGTGATATTTAATTTTGAATTTATCACTTTTATGTTAAGAAATGAAGCAAAGCTGATACATTTTACTAATCACTGTTTGCTTTTTGTCCCTGTTAAATGATAACCATAAATCATGTTCCTTATAAAGCCGCATTTCTTTGTTTCCAACAGGAACTATCATGTATTCTATTACCTCCTGGCAGGAGCAAGTGAAGAAGAGAGATCAGCATTCCACCTTAAACAACCAGAGGAATATCATTATCTCAATCAGGTGAGAGTTTATAAAAAGCATTTTGAAGTGTAGAACATTATCACATTTTAGCTCCTGAAAAAGGCTTTTTTTCCTAGTGCTTTCTTTCCCAAGTCTAGTAATGGATATTAACTAGCATTTTCATACATGTAATCTAAAAATTACATGTATCTAAAAATTTAAGGATACAGTTTTCAGATTAAAAATTGTTACTACCTTTATATAAATGTTAAAAGATTATAGATGTGCTTTTTGGGTTTTTTGAGACTTCTTGAGAAAATATTAATAAGCTGTTTGTTTATTGGTGCTTCCATAAAGAAAAAATGGTTTACTTACACCAAAGTGCTTATTACCTTTTATAAGATGTTAATTGTTAATTGCCACAAGATGTTAATTGTTACTTATGATTAATGCTTGTCCTTTGCTTGAAACTTGATTTGCATGTTTCAAAGTCTAACACACATACCCCTTTGCGTGCTATTATGATACTGACTTACAGTGTGACTATTTTTCTAATTCGGTGAACAGTCTTTTTAAACATTCAGTATGAAATTCATCAAAATCAAATGACCCCTAAACTTTCACAATAAGGAGTAATTCTCACAACTTTTCATTACATTTGTTTCTCTAATTTTATTATTCCTATATGAACAAAAATTCTAAAACCAGTATTAATGAACTTATTATGATAGATCATTTAATAAATTGTCTTCCTTTATTTTTTAGTTGTTTGTGGCAAGATGTAATGTCTATGGAAAGAAATTCCTTGATGGCAGTTAAAAATATAATACAAATATTATGCAGATTTTGTCAGCAAATTTACATTTTGGATGGTGGCTCAAAGATTACTGTGTGCATTTTGGGTTATGAAAATAGCACCTTAAACTTTTCCCAAGGTAGATAGTGTGCTGTGTAACTACTATTTCTTAATTTCGTCATTACATATATTAATGTAAACAAACTTGACTTTGTATTAGAATATTGAGAATTTCAAAGTTATTCAAAATTATCACTTTTTGATGCAATACTACTCATTACTAGGTAGATTAAATAGATTTTTTTAAATTACTAATTTGACTTTTGAGTTTTTTCTTCCTTTGTTTAAACAATTTGCATTATATTTGGGTGATTAAATATGTCTTTTATAACGTAGCAATCTCCCATAAATGAGCTGATAGTTGTTAGTATTAGAGAAGTCCAGAGTTTTGTGGTTTTTTATCTTGGATATTTTTGCAGTTAATGGCCATAACATGTTTTTGTCATACTGTTAGTATTCACAAGACATGGGACTCAGCAGTTAATATAACTTTCAGTCACTGGGCAATGGCATGTATGGGCTTGGCAGAATAGTATATGATCTCCCAGAATTTGAGTATTTACTTATTTCTTGTATGCTGCTATGCAAAATAACTTTTCGTTGGATAACAGCAGTTACTACCTACACACTTCATCTAACAGATCATTAGAAAAGCGTGATAACTGTTACTTCTCCCTAACTAATCTACCTTACTTTCAGATAACAAAGAAACCCCTCAGACAGAGCTGGGATGATTATTGCTATGACTCTGAGCCGGTCAGTACAAGTACCTAAATATTCTGTGTTCCTGTTAAAGGGTCCTCCCATTGCTCATTTGCATCCATCTCAAGACTTAGTCAGAATGAAAATCAGCTGAAATACAAAGACGCCTAGGAAACAAGATAAATCAGTGTGTAATTTCTTTGAATGATTGATTTTTATTTTGTATGGTTTGTTGATTAAAAACCAGTTATTTCACTTTTTAAAATATTTTCTTGTTGCTACTGTTTAGTCCACATTTGATATTTATTTTGACAAACAATAAATTGATTGCATTCCTTATTCTTCAGTATTGACGTGACTCTGTATGAGCTATAGTTTTTTCCCCCTGATATTTATTTTTTAAATTGTTTTTTAGTAGTTTCATTACCCACATAATATTAGTAATTATTATTTATTTTTTAAAATTACATTCTTTCTGTTTCATATGTCAGTGGTTGTTTTTTTTTAACACAATGAGTGCATATATATATTTTCTTATATAGCAAGAGGCTATATAGCCTTAATAAAATTTTCTAAAAACTAAGTATTGAAATTTTTGTAAATAAGATTATTGTTATGTTTTAAATTGAGTGATTAAAGAGGTTATATAATGTTATATAAAATGAGTAGGTAAATTTGGCTTTAATTCTTTAAAAAAAATCTATTATTATTATTATTATTATTATTTTGAGTCAGATTCTCACTGTTATGCAGGCTGGAGTACAGTGGCACGATCATAGCTCATTGCTCCCTCAACCTCCTGGTCTCAGGTGATACTTCTGTCTCAGCCTCCTGAGTAGCTGGACTACAGGCATGTGCCACCATGCCCAGCTTATTTTTAGATTTTTTTTGTAGAGATGAGGTCTCACTATGTTGCCTAGGTGGGTCTTGAACTCCTGGCCTCACACAATCCTCGTCTCGTATTCCCAAGTGTTGGGATTACAGGTGTGAGCCATTGCACCTATCCTGTTATTATTTTTTTTAATAATTTTGTTTTTTTAATTAGCAAAAGAGAAGTCTTGCTGTGTTGCCCAGGCTGGTGTTGAACTCCTGGTGTCAGGTGATCCTCCTGCCTCAGTCTCCCATAGTGTTGGGATTATAGGCATGAACCACCATGCCTGGCCAAATTTAGTTTTTTTTGTTACAATTATTAAGAACAAATTTGTAACCACCCAAAGAGCACAGAAAATATTTTTATTTTCCTTAGATTTACAATTAAGTTATATATAAAAGCCTGAAAACACACACACATCTGCCTATATATTAATTAACTAATGAATTAATTTATTAAACATTCTTCCTGGAAACATGTCTTAGGCCTTGCTTTAAGGGCTCACAACTTTGATTCTCACTGCATGTGATTATAAACTCGACTAATTGCAAAACTAATATATTTCAGAGTTGAGAAGGATTCATATATATGGGTAATAATTTTTTTCTTTAGACAAGGTTTAATTGTATTACCATTTCATAATCAAGTAATTTTTGGGTTCAGATTTAATATTTTGGAAAATAAACATTTGACATTTAAATGTATATATTCTGTTACATTTTAATAGAAAATTTTAAGTTGCTTTGATGTTCTTAAGAAGCTCTTCCTTTTCCTGGTTCACATACTATACCAAGTGACCATGCCCCATTGGAAATCAGGTAGGGGACTACAGACTCATACTGCAAATTGAAGGCTTGATCGCCTGTTTTGAGCTTGCAGTGAAATTATGAACTGACCCACTATTGTTCTGAGACAGTCTAAGTGATACTTAAGAATTTGTGCTCTTGAAGTAGATTGACCTGACTTGAATATTGGCTTATTCACTTAGTAGTTTTGAGATCCACAGTGTGTCACTTATTTGTTTTGTTCCCATCCTCTAATTAATGGTCTTCAAGTTTTGAGAGTATTCAATTAGGCAGTGCTTAAAAAGCTTGATGGCGTATGTAATGTGTAATAAGTACACAATAAATGTTGTTACCACCATTGCTGCTGTCACCAAAATAATCATTACTCATCTTTTCCCTTTAGAAGAACTTTGTAGCTGTAATCTCCTATTCCCTTAATATTATATTCACCATCATTATTTGTTTATTGTACTTCTATATCTGTGATAGTTTGAAATATGATTAATTTTTATTTTTTCTCATTCATTAATAAAAGCAAGCAGTCTTAGAATCCTTTGGTTTATTCTTTCCTGTTAGCTTTTTCTCATAGTATGTTTGAGGACAATTTAAACTTTGAGTTATTAGAACTTTTGTAACTAGCATTATAATTAGGGTTCTTATAGGGCTGTTCTGTTGTGCTACATTACTTATATATTTTATGAAATTGCATAAATGGTCCCAAGTAGACCTGTAGTGAGATAATTGCTTTTTATAAGGGATCTTTTGTTGCCCTTGTGTGGTGATTTAACTTCACGTAAGGGTTATCCTATAAGATAAGCTCAAACAGTAGTGTTGCATAGTAGTGTTGCATGGAAGGATTTGGAACTGGATAGATTCTAGTTTAGCTAGATTTGTTACTTATAAAATATTTGACCTTTGGAAGTTATTTAACATGTAAATCTGTTTTCTCACCTGTACATGTACATATAATTATTCCCTGTGTTTTAAAGCTTTAGTGAGATTATACATATTGAGTAATAGTTATGGTGTCTGATATGTAGAAGATATTTAGTATTAAGTGCTAATTTACCTTCATATAGTAAAAATCTATTCAAATATAAGTTATTCTTATTTCAGTTGCTGTGGCTACAGCATCTCAGCCTTTGTTTCTTCAGTTATAAAATATGGAGGATGAATTAATACTGGTAATATATTCACTGATGACTGCTGTAGTTGTGCCTTAAAGTTGGTCTGAGTAACTTTAATGTAAAGGATCAGTTTCACCTAATTCTTTTATTTATCTGAACCAAGACTTTTAGCGTCCACCTATCAGGTAGGGTTTTCACTATAGTTACCAGTGAGTCTCAGGACATTGTCATGTCCATCCATGCTGCAGAGGGATTTGACCTCTAATATCCTGTGGAGACACAGCTCCAGCCTTGGTCACTATTACAAGAGTCCAAACATCTATAAATATCTGGTAGCTCATTTTCCACGAGGTAGACCTGCTGCAGTGCTTTCAGGGATTCTGATGGGCAGGCTCCTCTGAAACCATAATGTTTTTATTCATTCTGGTTTAAGTATTTCTACAGCACAAAGGCTTCTATTGCCATATTCCACCTCTCAGTTTGTAAGTTTGTGGTCACATCCTTACACATGGTTTTTCTGGCTTTATTTCTTAGCCTCTGCCAGTCTTACAGGATGTCTTTGCATGCTGTACATCTTTCTGCATAGATTTTTCTATTTAAAAAGCACGTAACCTCCATATTATATTTGATCCTTATAAAACCCCTTGTGATAGTATGATTACCTTTCACATAAGAAGCAACGTTGGCTCAGAAATTAGGCCTGTTGCTCCCATGGTGGTAAAGCCAATTAATAGTGTGACTGGAATTCTAGCCAAGCCAATGTTCTCTATATCCTTTTTTTTTTTTTTTTTTTTGAGTCAAAATCTCACTCTGTTGCCCAGGCTGGAGTGCAGTGGCGTGTTCACGGCCACCCCAGCATTGACCTGCTGGGCTCCAGCGATCCTTCCAAGCAGAAGGAACTACTGGCGTGCGCTGCCATGCCTGGCTAATTTTTTGATTTATTTGGAGAGGAGATCTCACCAAGTTGCCCAGGCTGGTCTTGAACCCCTGGGCTCAGGCAATTCTCTTACCTTGGCCTCCCAAAGTGCTGAGATTACAGGCTTGAGCCACTGTGCTTGGCCTATTCTTTTTTCTTAAGTGATCTCTATCTAGCATCTTTACTAGCCTTCAAAGTCAATTGTCCTGATTTATTTCCTGTACTATACATTGGTAGTTATAAAGAGTATAATTTTTCAAGCACAATTTTTAGAAGTATAAACAACAGAAACAAATATCTAATTTGACTCTACCTTTTTATTTTCTCTCTCTTTCACACACATTAAGTGTCTACTACATGCTAGGCTTATCCTAGGCACTGATAAATGAGAAAGGGTTCTCTTCATCCCATACAAAGGCCTACAGGGGCCTGACAGCATGACAAGAGCATTTTGGTGTGTTTGTTGGGGGTGTGCAGCAGCATGCTGTCAAGTAAGACGAGCTTGTGCAGAGCTCGACAGAAAAATCAGCTATGTTCTTTCAGTGGAAGGGATTGTAATAGTTGATGGTTAACTCATCCATTTCGTTGTTCTGTGGTTGACCTGTATGTATCTTGGTGCCTGAAGGCTTTTTTCCAGAACCCCAAAAGGCCTTTGTGCCATCCAGAAGTGAACTGGAATTAACAGCCTCCTGCCCTTATCTTTAGAAATCTTCAATCAATGGCCTATGGGAGATGGTATATAAACACTGTAGTTCCCTCACCTCTCTGGGTTTTATTTGTTTACCAAAGATAACCTTGGAATTAAACTTATTTTTATTCACTGTAGTAGATATTTCCACAGTGTACCCTATATAGTCTAGTTTTTCTTTCTTCTTTTATTTTCCCTACTACTTGTATTTTAATCTTGGTCTGGATCAAGGTCTGCTTCCAGTGGGGTCCAAATTAACATATGGGTGTTTCTGGGCTGGTAGATTTAATCTGTTCTTAGTTTTTTTCTTCTACAGTTGTCAACAGGGAAAATAGATAAGGGAATCAGTTCCATTTTTAAAAATTATGATTTTGATGTTCACTGAGACCACACTTTGTATTTCTGAAAAACATTTGATTAAGGATAACAGCAAATATATATTTATATTTTAGTGCCTCTTTCAGTGTACTTTACCGGTATTTTAGATATATCACTTGTTTCATGCACTTTTGAGGCAGATAAAAACACTATTAGTTGTATAAGAATCATTACTCTGTCACTGAATTTCCACACGTGGAAGCATATTTTTTTTCCCATTTGTTTGTTATAAAAAATGTTTACTGAATCATAAAATGAATGAACTGTGGTTAGGGGGAAAGAGAAGCAAGAGAGCTTTTAAAGAAAGTTTTGCGCCGGGCTCGGTGGCTCAGCCTGTAATCCCACGCCTTTGGGAGGCTGAGGTGAGTGGATTGCCTGAGCCCACGGGTTCGAGACCCGCCTGGGCAGCGAGACCTCACCTGTACAATAAATCAAAAAAATCAGCCGGGCGTGGTAGCGCATGCCTGTAGTTTCGGTTACTTGGAAGACTGAGTCGGAAGGATCTCCGGAGCCCAGCAGGTCGAGGCTGCGGTGGCCGGGAGCGGCCACTATACTCCAGTCTGGTTGACAGAGTGAGACTCCAACTCAAAAAAAAAAAAAATAGAAAGAAAGTTTTGCTAGAGGTAAAAGAAGAATGTGTTTAAAATTTTATTTTAGTGAGAAGAACATTGACATGCCTGTAGAATATGTCTTTAAAATTACTTACCACAAATTTTAGTTAGAAAACTAAATGCATAGGGTTCTCAGAATTTGTACTGAATTTAAAATTTAAAGTTATGCATGTATACCTTTCTATCTAGAGAAGGAAAATATTGTTAATAGCATTTAAATTTTAAACATTTTAAATACTTTTAAAACTTTTAAAATTTAAATGCTTTTAAAAACAGCATCTAAATTTTTAAACTTAATTTTAAACTTTATATTTAGATCTAGTCATTAACTTATTCTTACAGTATCCAAAACATTTTTTGTACATATAGTAGATATTCGTTAAATATTTTCAAAAAATAAGTACTTTATTTCTCAAAAAGGACTATTTTACTCAATTTGTATTTATGTTTCATTCAGTAGTTATATGTTTACTTCAGTGATGACTTGTTCTTAGCACTGACTTCTTGCTGCAGATCTGCAGTGAAAAAGACAGTAACAGTTCATATAGTTCATTGAGTACTTTATGGAACATTTCCTAGGAAGATAGACATTAAAAAAGTAAATACAAATGTGAGGTAGTTTTTGAAAGTCCAAGGGACTGTGAGAACATACAGTAAAGGAATTTAACTACTCACTTATTGTTTTAAAGATTTAGAGTATGTCTACCGTGTTATCGTTTGACTATTTTGAGAACTGTAATGCAAGGGTTGATGCTAAAAAAGTAGTATTTTTTTTTTTAGAGTGATATAGTTTAGTTTAATTAGTTCTCAAAACTTTAGGTATATAAGAATCCCTTATGTAGATATTTATTTTTTTTAATTTTAAATTTTTTTAACTTTAAACATTTTTTTATTTTAAAATTGTGGGGTACATTTCAGGGTTAGGTATACAAATAT